CCCCTGGCACAACTTGAGGCCATTTCCCCTTGTCCTAAGGCTTGTTACTTGTGAGAATGGTCCTGCAGGGCATGCCCACCTTTCCTAATTTCTGTTCCCACCTCCTCCTTAGACCCCACTCCACCTCGCAGTGTACCTGGAGCAACCCAGCGTGATCCAGGCACTGATCCACAAGGGAGTGAATCCTGGGCTGCAGGATCGCAACGGCAACACCCCGCTGCACCTGGCCTGCGAGCAGCAGCGCCTGCAGTGTGCCCAGCAGCTGCTGCAGGGCACAGTCCTGCCAGAGGACACGGCCCAGCCCCACGGGCACCACCAGGACCTGCAGCTCCAGAACTGGCAAGGTGAGACCTGGGGGCAGCCCAGTGCAGAGCCAGTGGCCAGGCTTGGGCAGAGACCGAGTGTTGTGTGTGCAGAGATTGGGGAACGCAGCAGACTGGGCACAGGGCTGGGGCTGGTGTGCCTCTGGGTGACTCAGGCTGACTGTGGTTCTCTCTCCTGCCTCCCCACCCCAGGCTTGGCCTGCCTGCACATCAGCACCTTGAAGGGGAACATCCCCATGATGTCTCTGCTATTGAAGAGTGGTGCCAACATCGATGTTCGGGTAAGGCTGGGCGTGGTGTGATGTTTGGGTAGGGCTGGGCACACCACATGGCTCCCTATGGCCCCAGGGCAGGCACTGCTGCGGGGTTGAGGAAAGGTCCTTGCTGGGCTGTTGGGTGCTATGACTGCAGTCAGGGTGGGGGCTGCTTTTCACCCTGTTGAGGGGGTGTGAGTGGGTGCTGCAGGGCCCATCTGAGGAGACCCTGCACCCATCCCCTTGCGGTCTGCGGGTTGCAGGAGGGCACAAGCGGGAAGACCCCATTGCACCTGGCCGTGGAGAGCCACAACCGCAGAAAGGTCCTTGCTGGGCTGTTGGGTGCTATGACTGCAGTCAGGGTGGGGGCTGCTTTTCACCCTGTTGAGGGGGTGTGAGTGGGTGCTGCAGGGCCCATCTGAGGAGACCCTGCACCCATCCCCTTGCGGTCTGCGGGTTGCAGGAGGGCACAAGCGGGAAGACCCCATTGCACCTGGCCGTGGAGAGCCACAACCGCAGGGCCGTCCAGTTCCTGCTGCGCAACGGGGCGTACGTGGACGCCCAGATGTACAACGGGTGCACCCCGCTCCACCTGGCCGTGGGCCGCAAGGACGCTGCCATCGCCGCCATCCTCTCCCACTCCGGGGCCGACACCCTGCTGAGGAACATGGAGAACGAGACAGCTCAGGACCTGGCTGATGGCAATGATGATGTGAGTCTCAGAGGGGGGAGGCCTGTGGCTCTGCAAGCGTGTTGGGGGGCGCGGGAGTCAGGCAGTGTGGGGGGAAACTCCCAGGAGGAGTTTCTAGCTGTGCTTGTCCTCCCCTATAGGGTGCTGGCATTGGCTCTGAGCATGTGTGGGGTGACTGCCTGTTGCCTCAAGCCCTAGGGAAAGCCCAGCCAGGGTTCCTTGGCACTTTCCTAGGGAGGCGGGAGGCTGCAGGACTTGGGGGAGAAGATCTGGGCCCCTACTTGAGCTGGATGGAGACATGGCCCTGGATCCTTACCCATCTACACCCTTGGCCTTTGCAGCTCCTCGCCTTGCTGCCCTTTGATGACCTGAAGATCTCGGGGAAGCCTGTTGTGTGCTCTGAATGAGCGGCCGGACTCCTCCTGCCCGTTGGGCTGCCTCCTTGCTCAGTGATGCTGCCCTGCTGCCCGCTGGGACCTCGCCTGCCTGCAGTTCAGTGGGAGCAGAGCCACTTTGGGAGACTTATCCCCCTCCTCTCCTCTTTGGAAAAGTTTTGTTGGCCTCAGGCTGCCTTCCCGGAAGGAAGATGATGGCACTATGATCACTACACAGGGGAAGCTTTTCTTTTAGTATTTGTGCCCAGCAGCAAGACTGAATTTCCCCTCCCTGCCACGGGTCTGACTTGTGGGGGTCTCCAGCTTACCCAGGGAAGGAGCAGGAGAGGACTCCTTCTCACACTGTACGGTGGACGAAGCATCCCCTGGCACCCCTGAACGCCATCAGAATAAACACGGGGTGAGGAGAGCTAACACTCACTCTAATAAACGTTTGTTTCTTGCTGCGGGTGCCTGAGGTCTCATGTGATCTAACCCACCTCGCTCCCCTGCAGCAGCGTCGGGAGGCTGAGCAATACCCCGGGGCATGTGAGGGCTGCAGGGGCTTCCCCGGCCCGCCCGCTCCCTCGGGTCCTTGGCACCCACGCGCGGCAGAAGGTGAGTGGGAGCACGGGGGCTTCCCCACTTGCAAACCCTTTCCAGTGCTCAAGGCTGAGGCTGGGGGATCCCAGCCTAGTGCTCCGTTCCTGTGCTGTCCTGCTGAGCATCTGGTTCTGCGGCTGAAGAAAGAGGGTGGGAGGTGCCAGAAGACCAGGTTATGGACCCCTGCTTCTGCTGTCATGCCTGACATCTTGCTGCCTTACAGTGCTGTGGTTTCCTCTTTCACAATGAGGATAGAAAGATCCTGCCCCATCTCCTGGCTTGGGAAGGTGTTAAAAAACTTAGGGCATAGGTCTTCCCTGGGTTTTAGATTCCTCCAGGCCGAAAGCAGAGGAGACAGCAGGGTTACCTCCACATCCATTCTGTTGTTCAGCTCACCACCCTTCCCTGCCCCTCCTCCAACCCAGGGGAGCACGTGCAACGCATTAGGGAACCAGCAGCCAAAGGTGCTGTGAGAACGAAGACACAGAGTGCTCCTGACCTCACCTCAGCCAGGGAAATTCCCCATCTGCTGCCTGGGAGCAGCTGCTGTTGTCTGGGGCAAATCCTGGATGGTGCAATTGCCCGACATGCTCTGGAATGAGCTGTTGTTCTTCCTCCTCCCTTCTTGGCAAGCCAGATAGCAAGGGAATGCTGCCAGGAAAGTGGCACGGCCTCTCCCAGGCCTCTTTGGAACTTGCTTGGTCCCTTCAGCAGCCTCGGACCGGAGTGCTCCTTTCGAATCTTTGCACTTCTGGCACCTCTGCCTTCTGGCATGGCCTCGGCTAATATTCTGCTCGTGGGCTTGGCCAGCACTTGCCGGGAGCGGGTGCCCACTGGGGCTGCTCCAGTGCCACCTTCACGGGGCACATGTGTACTCCTGGGTGGCCCAGAGCTGGAGTGGGGGGTGCTGCCGGGATGAGCGGCTTGGTGGGGCCGGGGCTGCAGCTGCGCCGGAAGGGGAGGGAAAAGGCAGAAGCAAGTGATCATCACTGGGTTTATTATTTTTAAATAAAAATAATGTTTGTTTCGTTTTTTTTT